CCTTGTATCCCAGCTACTATTAATTAAGAAAGTGAAGGGGGGGGGAGGATTGGTGGGGGCTATTCAAGAGCGGTACTTGTTTAATATTATGGCCTATGGTGGGCAACTTTTTTGGGGATCAGGCTGCCAAGGTGTTACCTATACAAATGAATTACAAATACAAAAGGATGATTTTTTTTTCTTAATCCTGGACATGGTCACATTTGCAACTAGCCCAACTATCAAATGTGTTTGAAATAACCCCTGGGGTGTTAGTAGATTTATGGTAAACGTTAATTCAATAGGAAAAACTGTTTGAATGCAATAAAAAATGCAATAAATAAAACTGACGGGTTCCATTTGCCGGATCTCTAGTTAAAGAGATGCTGTAGCCAGACGTCACTTGATGTGTGAAATGAAACAAAACTGAATGCAAGGCTGGCGCTATATTATAGGCGTTTAATAAATCAGCCCTTTGCATAGTGCCAGCCTTACATTCAGTTTTGTTAATTCAATATAATGCCTTTCATGCCTTTGAGTGTTTACAACAGTGGTTGGTACAATCAAGTGTACCATAGGCCCATTACACACTTTACACTTATGTATTGGTTTGCATGTTTATTCTCTCATTATTATCATCATTGAAGGGGGTGCTTATTCAAGAAAAGCGCTTGTTTGATATTATGGTCCATGAGGTGGGCACCTTTTTAGGGGAGGCTGCTGAGGTGTTACAAATACAAATGGAAAAATGATTTTTTTTTCTTAACCCTGGAGATGGTCACAGTTGCAAAGCCCACCAATCAAATGCCCTGCTACAGTACATTTATTTCTTGGCTGGGCGTGGGGAATACTTACATTGACTTGTTTTAATATGACTTGAAGTACCATCAGCCAGGCAGCACAACAGCGCCAGTTCTAAAGCAATAATAATTTATTATTATATGTAACTGGAAGAACTGTTCTTTGTCTTGATTCATTGCCCTTGATTTTATTATTAAGGTTACTGCTACCAATCAGTCAAATTTTAAGATGTGTGGGTTTCAGAGGTCAAGGATTGATGTACCAAGCTTTGGTAAGGCTTTTTTATATTATTCATTTGTCGTAATCAGAATTTCATTACTACATGTTTATAATAAAACCCCCCTCCTGGGGGTGGGGGAGGAGACACTGAAGGGAAGTACTGCCAAGGCCTTAAACCTTATCCTGTTAATTAATACAAAAACAGTTCATTCCTGTCTGCCCAACCCCGTGGGGTACACCTGTACGTGTACACCTAAGTATCATCCAGACAGTGGAGTCTAGGACTCCCCTCCTTCTGCCATTATATTCCACGGGTAGTACTGTATTTATCTCGGGTATACTGACTGAATGAATACTCATGAAAAATAGCATTAATGCAAAAGATGTTAGCAAAGTCTGAGTCCAGGGGCGCCTTTTTATTCAATCCCCAAATTCCGGAAATTTTGGTTAGAAAGCAAATGGAACAGACCATTTTAGTTCGGTTTGGCCAGAATATTTGACAACACCTTTCAAGGTGGTCCACTTTGGACTGTCCTACTGGTATGACCGAAATGACCCTTTCCATTTGACATAATTGTTGTCCCTGCTCCTACTCATCTGTATCCTGCTTACAAGCACCTACCCAAGCACACACTGGCTTGGGTCAGGTCTGTACAATTGGAATGTACTGTACCATTGGGTGTGTGGAATTTCCAAAATTTCAAACAAGAATTTTTGTTGAACGGAACGTACCATAAAGCTAGATGTGGTTGGCGTTCATCTGCTGTGTCTTGGGTTGACAAGAGATTTTAATAAAAATGATTTGAAAAACGTACCGTTAAAAGCATTATACTGTGTCTTTGTAATACAAGGTTACACCTAAAGTACAATGTACACATCCAGGGCTGTCATTAAAAGGCGTGGACCGGAGATTTCCCCTGGCTACCCTAAACATTCACATACACATGAAAAGATCAGCATTGTTATTGTTACATGAGAAATCACACCTTGTGCAGCGGTGTCTCTGACAGCAGTGCCTTTGTCAAAGTAATTTTGATGCAACTTCAAAATGGTGGACGATTTACCTAACTGGAATCTAAATATTATTGGATGTTGACGAGCTTACTGCTCAACCAGGAAACAAAAATACAAAGAAAAAGATGATGTATGACCTGAACATTGTTCTAAAATTTCTTCGCAAGGTTTCGGAAAGAAGAGAGAAAATTAGACAATATTCCACCAGAGGAGGTGAATATATAGCTTAGTGAATTCATTATTGCTGCTAGAATGAAGAAAGGAGAACAATATGAGCCGTCTTCTCTCAGAGGAATCTTGTCTAGTGTTTACTGTTATCTTACAAGGCACGAATACGGGAAAAGGCTATTCATTGATCCTGAATTTATGAGATTGAGAGACACATTGAAAGCAAAGCAAAAAGAACTGAAGAAACAAGGCACTCAATGACACTTGTGAAATATTTTTTCAACACTCAAAGAGAAATTTTGTATACGTAATATGCTCCATATACATGTATCTTATACCTTATGGCTTGTATTTTTGGGAGTTTTAATTTTTGTAGTTTCTTTCCACTGTACATTTACAGTCGCAACCTTAGTACACATCCTGCAAAATGACTTCCACAACTCAAATAACTTAGAAAGACAACCTACATGGAGTTTTTAATTTTGTTGTAGGTAAACATTTAGGTTAATCCTGTATTCAACCGTCTTTGATTCAGAATTTCCTTTGTTTTTTAGCCCTCATTTTTTGTAGGTTAAACCAAAATGTCTTTTTTGTCTCCTGAGAACAGATTTTAGCTACAGTGCTTTCACATGTTGGTTTGCCTATATTTGTGACTCAATTTATAAAGGAATAGTTGAATGCAGTTGTTAAGAAATAAATTCCCAAGCAGAAACCAGGTTATGGACCAATCCAAAAAATATAATTTGTTCCTGCAAAAACTCCCACAAAAATAAAATGTGAAAATAGTACTGACGACAACATTGCACCATTATTAAGTTTACTTTCTTTTCTTGTTCCTATTGTAGTGTTGATGTCTGCAGTTTTAAAGGATTTTTAGGATTCCTGTGATGTCCAGGCTGATGGTAAGTCGGAAAATTTATCATCTGTTAGTTACAGTGTTGGTCTAGTTAAGGTTGATTGTTAATTCTTGGTATTTATATCTTCATTCTCTAGTTGTAAGGTTTGAGGAGTTTCAGCTGTGGCTCTAAATTTTGGTGGAGGGGTGTTATTCGTGTCAGACCCCAATCAGGGAGGTCTGATTTGAGCCCTCTGTGTTGTCACTTGATGGATTTTCTTAGACAAGAAACTTTCTTATTTTACCTCTCCCCTCGTGGGTGTTTAATTTTGTATTTAAAGGCAGCATACCGCTGGGAGCAATAATGAAATGGTGACCTAGCATTTCATTGAGTAAGGGTGGGGGATGTTGGGCTAAGTTCTAATCTTGATGATGTTTGTTATGTGGGCCTCATTGGCTTGTTTTGACCCTTGTTTTAACCCTTCAAGCCCAAAGAGTGAGGAAAGTCAATTTTCTCCTAACTGCTTTCTCCCACTGCATGTCTGTTCAATGCATTAACAAAAGAGAAGGTTATGAGAATAAACAAAATGATCACTCAAAGGAAAAGTGCTTTATATCTTTTATAAACAAATTCTCTCTACTAATTCCTTAAGGAGGTGTGTGGAGGTCAGTCTGGAGACTTTGTATTTGCATTTTGTTGTTTAAGGGTTATTAAAATTATCTGGAATATTGAGTTGGTGCACTAAGCTTTATGATTCCTCCCAATCTCCATACAAAAGAGAGTTTTAGCAACAATGACAGCAGCGGCAACAAAAAACGTCACTATTAAAATGAATTTACCTTTTTAAACTTTGTTGAAAGTTTTCCACTGCACTTACAATGTCAAATTAATGTGAATGAACTTCCTTGGAGTGAAATTCTTCTTGAACTAAACTTTGCATTAGGAATTTTTCATGTCATAGTTGTGCAGTAATAGCAAAGACTGTACCATAAAGTGTGCTGCATGTGCAGAGTTGTTTTTTTTTGCTCGTTAAATCTATTACTTCTGTGACGTTTCTGTTGCTGTTGCTATCATCGTTGCCAAACATAGTTATGGTGTGACCAGGAAAACCATGAACACTTGAAATATTTCTGAAATGTTATTGTGTTCCAAGAAAAAAGCCAATCAGACGTGAGAAAACTGAACTGTAAGCAAGATCTTCTACATCTACATCTACATTTATTAAGTTGATAAAATCTTGTAAGACATCACATCAGCTGAACTATCTTTAATTAGTTTGTGGTTTTGTGGCCAGTTCACCTGTCTTGATCTTTGCTGTGATTGGTCATAACACAATAAACATTCCTGAGATATTTCCTGGTTGCACTGTAACATGCTCCTCACCTCTTAGTGTGGTACTGTGATTTTGAGGCAGTCTTAGTAATGTGCATTATCTTTAACTTTTTACCTTGCAAGTTGTCTCTGTCACACCTCCCTCCCAATTATAGTGATATTCCCATGATAGTTTAAACATATTATTGTCTTCAAGTTAAAGTAGAAAGTGATGTTGATTTGTAACAGTTTTGAACTGTTACCATTTTCAATAAGATGTTACTATACATGCATTTATGTAAACTGCTAATTTTGGTTAGAGTAGGCCAACCACAGATACATGTAGTCATGTAGCTCTCGGAATGATTCCTAAGTAAGTAAGTAGTATGTACCCCAAGCTCAAACATGATATGTCTTGAGCCACTGTTACACAATGTGTTGGTTTTGCGGCAGTCAAAATAATATAACGATTTCTATTGGAAAAGTTCTAAACTTGCTAGTATAGTTAATCTATAGTTTTCTTGCCAACCTTTTTAAATAGACTCAGAACAGCAATACAAGACAATGCTTGAGTTTAAATATAACTCAATTTAAGTTCGTATGAACTTACAGTGTAGTTGAAAAAGGCCTTTTATTAAACCCTTTAGTAAAGTCATGCTACTCTTCTTTTAGGATTTGTCATCCTTTCCTAGCACAGCCTCTACATCACAGGAAGACCATGAAATCGATTCAGGATCCACTTCCTCCAGGAAATTGAGGGTGACTCTGTTAAGCAGTGAATGGAGATCAACAAAAGGAGGCTTGTCAACCATCAACCGAGAGCTGGCCATTCAGTTGGCAAAACATCCCAGCGTTGAGGTCACCGTTTATCTCCCTCAGTGTAGTGAAGAGGATAAACAAGTTGCTAAAGATCACAATGTCCGCCTTATTAAAGCAAGAGAAATGCCTGGTTTAGAGCCGAATTTCTGGTTGTCTTGTTTGCCGGAAGACCATGCTGTGGACTGTGTGATAGGGCATTGGGCTGTTCTTGGTCGGCAGGTGCAAATCATCAAGCGAACTCATCCTTACTGCAAGTGGATTCAGGTGGTTCATACCGCTCCAGAGGAACTTGGAATGTACAAAGAATATGAAGAACACATTTCCAGGGGTGAGGACAAACACCAGGTTGAGGTTGAACTCTGTAAATTGGCTGATCAAGTTGTGGCTGTTGGCCCCAAGCTGGCTGAAGTATTTTCAGGTTATCTTCGTCCTTGTGGGAAAGATCGAGATGTTCTCAATTTTACTCCAGGAATTTTCTCGGAGTTTGCAGATGTAAACCAAGCCACTGATGAAAGAAAGGCATTCAATGTTTTGGTCTTTGGACGTGGTGACAATGAAGATTTCAAGCTGAAGGGATATGACATCGCTGCCCAAGCCATTGCTGAGTTGAAAGACACGACCTACAAACTTGTGTTTGTTGGAGCAACACGGGGAGAAGAAGAGAAGGTAGCACACAAGTTAGTCGAGCAAGGCATTGGAACTAGTCAACTCAAAGTGCGTCGCTTTAATGAAAGTAGAGAGAAGCTAGCTGATCTATTTTGTGAAGTAGATCTTGCTGTAATGCCATCACGAACTGAGGGCTTTGGTCTTGCTGCCCTTGAGGCTTTATCTGCTGGTTTGCCTGTGCTGGTCAGTGGGAACTCTGGTCTTGCGGAAGCTTTAAAGAATGTTCCACATGGTTCAAGCTGTGTGGTGACGTCGGACGATCCAAAAGACTGGGCCAGTGCAATCAGAGCTGTCCGTCACAAAGAAAGGGAGGTGCGACTTGGAGAGTTTGATGTTGTACGTGGAGCATATGCAAAAAAATACAGCTGGAAGGAACAATGTGATAAACTTGTTGAAAGGATGAAAGTGATCTCTAATTCAGAAGGTCAGTTAAATTAAGTACTATTGTATTGCGTTATCTGTTGCATATATATTGGACCTAAAATGAAATCATGTATGCTAGCCCCGCGAATAAGGCAAGCTCACATTGCTCTTTGGCACTGTCAGGCAATGTTTTGCGAAAAAGAATGATCTCTGAGAGGTGGCTGCATGATTTGTTGCATTTACTCAGTAAAATGATGTGGTGCACTCATAAAACTTGAAAGCATTCTCATTTAGAAGCAGAAGTTATCACAAACGGCCGCACCTATACTTTGGGAGAAGCAGCCGTATTATTAGAATGATAACTAAACAAGAATTTTTTAGTAGAGTTCGGCTGGAAGTAAAACGTTGTCTGAAACATTGATCGCAGGTTGAAAAAGAACACGTTTTATAGTGTGAAAGGTGGCATATCTAGTGGCAAAGATAATTAGATCAACACGAAACTGATTTCATTTCAGACTCATCAAAGAGACTTATGTCTTTGTACAAAGGTAAAAGGCCATTATCCCCAAGTGGTACCTCAGCGTCTAAACAACCGAGACTGTTGAAATATGCAGGTAAACCATGTGTTGCTGTAGTATATCATTCATTAGAGTATTCAGTCTATACATGTAGTATCGTGCTGTGCTGTCTTGATTTCTATCATTTCGTTTGGGTATGAGAGGGCTTGTACTACTGTTATACATAAATTCGGGCTTCATTATTCAGTTTGTGGGGCTCTTGTATTACTATAATTCTTTGCTACGTACGGCAGCATAGCTAAGCAGTGTACCATGGATATTAATGACATTTGGGAGCTTTTATTGCTTACAGAAAGTTTCTAAACAAAAGTTGCTTGAGAGGCCTTAGCTTAATGTAAACCCGCCAGAAAAACAAACAGACAAACGAAACTAAGCGGTCTACTTTTACAGGCCGTCAGACAGACCGGCTGATAAATTTGACCAGACTATTCGTTCACCTGAAACCATTCAGTATTTTCGCCATGTTCACAGAGAACTGACAAACCAGGTTGAATTTTAACTTTTGTCAGGGGTTTTACCATCTGCTCATGCGCAGAGCAATGATATAGCAAACCCAAACCCGTTACACTGTCACCTAACAGAGTAACCACGCATCCATGCAACAGCGCCTTTACCATAAAAAAAAACTTTGACGGAAATGGTGTTCACACAGCGCAGGTCAAATTTTCGACTGTGCCGGCTAAAAATTTGACCTCGATTGTGACGTGGAAGGTTTTGAACGGCTAGCCGTTTAAATTTTCGTACAGTAAAGGTGCTGATGTGTGGTACTGTTTGACGTGGAAGGTTTGAACGGCTAGCCGTCTAAATTTTTGTACGGTTAAGGTGCTGATGTGTGGTACTGTTTGACGTGGAAGTTTTTGAACGGCTAGCCGTCTAAATTTTCGTACGGTTAAGGTGCTGATGTGTAGTAGTGTTTGACTCCTGGACTTTCTTCGTCGTAAGCTTTAATAAATTGCAGTAAGCATCTACAATAAGCTGAATTGTCCAGCCGGCCTTCGGAGGTATATAAACTTTGTTTATGTTCAATTCAAGAGTTCACGTCAACGGATCCTTTGACTATTTTTTTTTTCTTTAGGTTGCAGTGGGGATGAGCAGGATTTATCTGTAAAAGCCACTGCGGTTTGTTCAGGTTACGAGAAACCTATACTTGTCAATAAACCTCTTCATAAAGGTACGCTTGAATCTTAGAAACATGAGCAATATACTCGCGAGAACAAAACTTTTTTAAATGTATGCTTTTATGAAACAATTGTTTCCAACGCATTCCTCGTTCACTCGGACGATCGAGCTCAACCTACTTATTGTGATGTACCGTAATTTGTGCAATCATCTCCTGGAAATGTTGTTTTATTTTATGCTTCCTTCTTCTTCCAATCTCTCCAGTGTCTTATCATGTTTATCGTTATCTAGATAACATAACATGTTATATGATTTCTTGTCTTGATTTACCAATGAAGTACCAAATCCATTTGAAGTACAGTGAATGTCAGGAGAATATTAACAGATTGTTCGGTTTTTGCTCCTGACAGATACAAAAAACTTAGGTGTTCTGAAAATGCTCAGAGCTGAATATGAGAGACGGGCAAAGTTGAAGCCACTTTCTTGGTTGAACACTATGCAATTACCGCTTAAAAACGTCTACACGAGACTGAAGATTATCTCAAGAAGAAAAGCAGACTTCCAGGTTGAAAATGAAGAGTTGGGCATGTACGACATCTTCCAGGCCCTTGGCGAAAGCGAGGATGTCAAAATGACATTAGCAGAGGGAAGTCCAGGAACCGGTAAAACTACGTTTTGCCTCAAACTTGCTTATGACTGGGCACGTGGAGAAATGCCAACTAATTGTTCCTTTCCTAAATTCGAATTTGTACTGCTCNCGGGCAAAGTTGAAGCCACTTTCTTGGTTGAACACTATGCAATTACCGCTTAAAAACGTCTACACGAGACTGAAGATTATCTCAAGAAGAAAAGCAGACTTCCAGGTTGAAAATGAAGAGTTGGGCATGTACGACATCTTCCAGGCCCTTGGCGAAAGCGAGGATGTCAAAATGACATTAGCAGAGGGAAGTCCAGGAACCGGTAAAACTACGTTTTGCCTCAAACTTGCTTATGACTGGGCACGTGGAGAAATGCCAACTAATTGTTCCTTTCCTAAATTCGAATTTGTACTGCTCCTTAAATGTCGAGACATAAACGGAGATCTGATGGAAACTATCAAAGAACAGCTTTTGCCGGAAGATATCAAGGAGGAGACCTGGACAAAGCTGTCTGACTTCATCACGGATATTGATAACCAGGAGAGAATTTTAATTATTCTGGATGGTCTGGATGAGCTTCCAGAAAAGTCACGACCATGTGTTTATAAACTTCTCAACAGAAGAATTTTACCATTTTGTTATGTCCTGGCTACATCCCGGCAGGAAACAGGAATTGAAGTTCGTAAAAACTGCGAATTTGATCTTCTTCTGGAGATCAAAGGATTTACAGACGAAGATGCCTTTCAGTACGTCAGGAAGCATTTTGAAAACATCGGTCCGAAGCAGACATCGAAAGGAGAAAGTCTGATAGTGGAAATTAAAGAAAACGATTTATTGAATGCGCTCCGAAATAACCCGCTTAATTTAATCCTCCTGTGTGTTGTTTATGAAGACTACAAAGGAAAACTACCAACTGCCCGAACCGAACTTTACCAAGTCGTTGTCCAGTGCCTTTTGAGGCGTTATTGTGCCAAACACTGCCTTGTGGCCCCAGAGGAAAACAGCGCCTTAGAGAAGCAGTTTGAAGAAAACATTCTTGCCCTTGGAGAGCTAGCTTGGCTTTGTCTACTTGGTGAACGTCACGGGTTTCGTGAAAGTGAATTAGCCGCACTTGAAATCAGATACAAAGGATTGGTAGCTCGTGACATAGGTCTTCTTTACAAGGAAGAAAGTCTGAGGAGGTTAAAGCCTCAACATGAGTACTTTTTTCTTCACAAGACCTTCCAAGAGTACCTGGCTGCCGCCTTTATTGCTCACAAACTGCGAAAACACGAATTAAATGTGTTTGAGCGGTTGAGTTTTTGCGACCTGGTGTTAAAGTATCGAGAAGTGTTTCTTTTTGCCTCAGGTTTACTGGAGAGAGAGGCAACTATTCTATTTGCGCAGATTGGCGAGGAGCTGAAGAACTGGGGGGATTGGGACTGGGACAGTTGCACACAGTTAGACATAGTGAACAGTAAAGAAGACTGGTATTACGACCGTCAACAGCGAGGTGAAGCGGCGGCAAGTTTCTTCGCAGAAAGCTTCAGTGAAACTGGACGAGGTGAGCAAATGGTAGTCACTCTTTGTTCCTATATACCCTTTCCACAGCATATTGAGGTCAATCTCTCTTTGAAACCAGTCGTTGAGAGAATTAATGAGGCGAGTGGTAATATATTCGAAGTCTTAGAATCCTGTAACAGCTTTCAAAATCTACAAAAGCCTGTTGACGTCACCGTTCACGATTCATTTGACAATAAATGGGATTATGAGACTTTTGCAAAGTACATACAATCCTGCTCACAGCTTCAGATTCTTACCCTTTATAGCCCTGCGGTGACATCAGACCTGGCTAAAGTCTTACATAGCGGCCTATCTGGAAACACGACTTTGTCAGAGTTTACACTACAAGTCTCTGGCAGTATCCCCTGTGACGCAGCTGTTGTCATCGGTGAATGGTTAGCTGCTACTAAATCTTTAAAGGAAGTAACGTTTCTTCTTGACGTGGTACAGGATGAGACTTGGGCCAGTGCTATTGAAACTGGATTGTGTGCGGACACCGCTTTTACCTCTGTGGTCCTCGAGGTTCGTGGTCCAATGAGTAACACTGCGATCCATGCTTTAGGAAGGCTTTCATCAAATGAAGCTATGACCTCATTTTCTCTGAATAATTATGGAGATTTGCAAGATTTGACAGCTGCTGTTATTAGTAGAGGAATTGCACGGCAAACTGCACTCGAGTCATTGGATGTAAGTGTTAACGGCAACCTTAGTCTCTCTGGTGCGAATGTTCTACAAAGCTGTCTCGTAGAAAATCGCTCCTTAAATAATTTAAAACTGTTTGTCCGTGGAGAGATTCCTGACAACTGGCAATCTGTTTTGGAAAATCTTCGTTTGGTAAAGGAATCAGTTAACTGTGCTTTTCATCCAGACCCTGGCGGCAGTGTTACATCTAATCAAGTGGCGCATTTTCGTCCTGCTGTGGTCGAGAATGGGTTGGAAACAAAACAGCACCTAACTGTAGTCATTTGGGGAGAGCTGAAGTGTAATGGAGCAGAAGCTTTATGTGAGGTCTTGGTGCGTGTCCCCCTGACAAGCCTGACTTTAAAAGTGCACGGAAAATTAAGTAATGGTGTTGCTGATATTATTGCAAGATATGTCAGACAACAAAATACACTATCCTCCCTGGCAATCGATACTTGGAACGAGCCGGACCAAAGGACAGGAACTTTACTTCAGGGCCTATCAAATGACAACGTAACCGTTCAAGTGAAATTGCATGAGGTTAATTTAAATCCCAATGAATCGTTCAGAATTCCTGATCTCTTAATTGATAGTCCGGCATCTTTGACACCAGTTTTCTCAGAAGTCAAGAAAACTAGAAAGGAGAAGATCGCCCTTAGAATCGTTAACGACGGTGAAGTAACTAAAGACTGGCCACATCTTTTAGGTGATGCTTTGGCAGAAAACATGACTCTAACTGCGCTTGATCTTACAGTCAACAACTACATAGAGAACAAAGAGTTGGGGAGAGAACTGGGGATTAGTTTGTTGCGTAGCTGTTCACTGACAGTTTTAAATCTGGCAATCATCAATTACAGTAACATTGAGGATGGCTGGGAATGCACACTGGTCAACAGCTTGGCTAGAATGGCTTCATTAACCACACTCAGTCTTGCAATCGACGATCGTGGCGGGGAGAGGAAATGTGAAAGTGAAAATGACGATTTGATCGCATTGAAGTCCTTGACTACACTTTCCGTTGTTATGAATGGTAGCAATTTAGATGAATTCTGGAGCAACTTTCTTAGAAAATGTTTAGAAGGAAACGCCTCACTGAAAAAACTCTGTCTTGTAGCTAACAATGTTGAGTCCGATATCGATTTCTTAGAAGATACAATTGGAATGCCAGAGTATTGGGGAGAAGGTCTCGCTGATGGTCTGGCAAGAACGACATCATTAAATGATTTAGCCTTAACAATTAACAACATTACTTCTACTGATTACTACTGGGCAACCAGTGTCTGTAATGGACTGTCTAATAATGAGTCGGTGACTAATCTCGCTGTGACAGTCAGTGATTACCATTCCATGAGCGCTGGGGAGTACGCACTCTTTCTGAAAATGGGTTTAACGGCAAACAAGTCATTAACCACACTCACTCTTACAGTAAATGACTACAGTGAATTTGGATGGTATAAAAGCTGGTCCCGTTGGCCTCCGCTGATGTATTTTCTAGGCTTCAGTTTGATAGAAATCACATCATTGACTGAACTTAATCTGAACCTCAACATTTGCAGTGAAGTCAGTGAAGACTGGTTAACCGATATTTTCGACACTTTCGTGGAAAGTTCCTCCTTGACAACACTGAGATTGAACGTTAACAACCAATGCAGTACAGGGGAAAGTCGTTTGTATGACTTTAGCAACCTTTTGCTGAAAAGCGAATCGCTATCTTCATTTGAACTCAGCGTAACTTTTTATGGGGAGTAAAGTAAGTAGATCAAAACTGTCATGAATTTTCTGAGGTTTACCGACACATGAAGTAGGACAAAGACACGTGCACAGTTCATTATTTTGTTTAAACGTTTTTGCGTCCCAGTGGATTTATATTGGCATAACAAGAAAATACTGACGTCACAATTGTTTTAGCTCTAAATCCGCGTTTCCTATCTCTAATGCCTAGGCCAAACGTCGAACTTTTGATGAGACTAACCAGACTTGGTGAGTTGAGTTCATTAAAAGTTCGACGTGTGGCTCAGTTAAGTTAGCCTGAATGAGTTTGGATCGTCCAACACGTTCTATTCGTCTTCTTCAAACGGATAAAATTTGTATAATAATGTATAATGTATATTTAGCCTCTTTCGAGAGAAGATTTATTCGTGTCGCTTTGAATGAGCCTGGCGCTGGCAAAGAACAAATTTTTGCCTATCGACAGCTTGAGCTTTCTCCTATTTAGAAATGCTCTGGTTAAGTGAGGCCAAGGTCAATACAATACGGTTTGCCAGTAGTCTAAGAGTTTATTTAATAGTTTTCGATATTTTACAATATCAGCACTTAATTATTTCAATGAAGTTTGTGTTATAATTGCCAATTTGTAAGAAACAAATTATAGTTTAGTTTCTAGTTTTACCCAAAGTGTATTTCACCGTGTAAAACAAAGAGAGGATCCATACTTCATCTTTAACTTAGTTCAGTCAGCGTAAGTCAAGAGCGTTTTTGTTAGGAATCGACTTCATCTCGTCGGTGGATGCAATGAACGTTTCATACAAACAAGCATAAGCGAACAGTTTAAAGTACATTTGACATTAAATGCGCCAAGTTTTGTCATTCAGAATTGTATAGTTACATATAAATAAAATTTCATGTAGTTACGCAGAAACCCTTATAGTTTGCTGGTTGAAATTGTTTAATATATTCTCGATAGCGATCTGGAACTATCTTGCAAGTGAAAGCGGATTCTCCTGCTCAACCCGCCTAACCCCAGCTTTAACTTCAATACTAACTCCCGGGGTACTAGCTGTGGTCTCAGAACACCTACCTTAATACGATAGTAGAAGGTTTTTTCTCAATGTGGCTTCTTGTAGCAGTTAGCCTCTTACGGGTCGTAAACTTGCGTGAGTGCCTTTAAAGTGTTGGAAAAAAAAAAAAAAAAAAGCCGAAATTTTTTTTATAACTCTTTGTTAGTTCTGTATGGACTAACCAGCGTGTTGTTGTGTCTATTTATGCCTTCTGTTTATACTGTGTCATTTTATTTATGTTGTGTATATGCTTTGATTTTTATTTACTTTTCTTTT